GTGTTTCGGAGCTTAGATTTGCTCTGTATAGCGTGTTTCGGAGTTTAGATTTACTCTGTATAGCATGTTTCGGAGTTTAGATTTACTCTGTATAGCGTGTTTCGGTGTTTAGATTTACTCTGTATTTTCTTGCGTTACATTTAACTATATTTTCAATCTACCGGTGTATTTAAATTATGAGAAGTTAATTCATTTCTCAAGTTTGGGTCAGGCTTAGCCAAGCGGTTAGCGTTTCAGTCTGGGGTTCGAAATATCCTAGGTTGAACTTGCTTCGAAGTTTTAGCTATGGGTGCGTTATAGAAAGTAACAGTCAATCTCGGTATTCAGTTAAAAGACCCGATTAAAGCCCTTGTTGCGGTGGATGTTATTAGCTAGTTGCCTCTTCTCTGATCAGTAATTCAGAATTAGGAACGGCATACCTCAACCCTAGAGGTCTTGACCTGGATACTTAGCCCACCGTGAGCATCAAATGGCGTTCATAAAGCAAATTTCAATTCTTAACTCCACTGACACATATTATAACTGTGTGTCAATAAAGGCTGCCATCTTAATTAACACATAAAATTTAATTCGTTGATCATTGCTGGAGCGCAAGTAATGTTTTGGACAATTTTTAGATGAAATATTTTAATATCCATATGTTCTATTGTCTATTCTCTGCGAAGTATGTAATCAAAATCATGAAGTTGAAGTCTGTCGTTTTACACGTCGACAGTCACAATGTTTTCTGTTCCTTAAATTCACCGTCTGTTTAAAGTACAAGCTGAGGTATTTTGTCCTGGTTATGAACATAAAAAAAATGGTGGGGTAGATGCTATGATAAATAACACAAAAATCCTAACTTACACAAAATTTATTTATAACATAACATATTATTACAGTATTCATTATTACCTTACTAAACGTTTTATATGAGCTTTAAAAACTCAATATGTATATATTTAAAACACGGTATACACTATGCGATGATCAGTGTGACTTTGTAGGAAGAGGTAGCGGCAAAAGTTTTGGCGGTATGGGTGCTTTCTATTACCCGCTTTCAACACCCACCTCTTAAATGTCCTGCCACAGTGTTTCACGCGACTAATTAACTGACGGTCATTGGCCGCAGGATTGTATTACTGGTCGGAGTTGAAAGGTCACGGGCCAAAGTAGGAAGTGGATATAACTCAAGAAAGGGCTCTTCATATCAGCCTTATGGTGGCCGTTAGAGTAGAAGCTTCAGCTGAGTTTATGTATTATCGCAATAGTGGCGGCTATTATTTCATTGCAATCCTCCATAGAAATGCTAAGCGTTCGTGTACCCTCTCCTCATACTGTGTGTATGTTGTTGTGTAGGACGTGGCGCCATCTATGAATGTAGTTTACATAAACTTACGTCAAAAATAAAATGCTCAATAACAGCAATAATATGGGTTGGAGGGGGGTTGTGAACCTCCATTAACATGCCCCTTGTTCCAAACTATCATCCCACAAAGTTTGGTTAAGTCCGGATACTAGGAGTAGTTAGATAATGGACAGACACACACACACACCCATATTTTTTCTTTTATATATATATATATATTAATTACTTCTAAATGCCACAGAAAACCTTCTTCCTGGTCACACCTCTCTTAGAATATGAGAAAACGTTTTTATTGACATTTATTCTTTGCAATATCAAGGAAATGAAAAATAACACAAAGTAATAAAAAGAAGGTTTGTTTGTTTATTTGAAGTTAAGCACAAAGCTACACAATGGGCTATCTGCGGGTATCGAAACCCTGTTTCTATCGTTCTAAGTCCGTAGCCATACCGCTGTATCACTTGGGGGCTAAAAAGAAGGTTTATCGAAAATAAAATTTTCGATGTAATTGAGTTCTATATGAATAAAAAATTAGGTTGATGCTTTAGACGAACAATGATCATCAGATTCCAAAGCAGTGTCTTCCATTTCTTAGAAAACTCATCATCCCATCCCAAAACATTGTCTTCCATTTTTTACAAAACTATCATCCCATCCCAAAACACTGTCTTCCATTTATTACAGAACATATTATGCGATGCCTAAGGATTTTTCCATTTCTTACAATACTCATCATCATATTCCAAACCACTGTCTTCCATTTCTTACAAAACTTATCATCCCATTCCAGAATACTATCTTCCGTTTCTTACAAAACTCATCATTAGAACTCAAAACATTGTCTTCCATTTCTCACAAAATTCATCATCAGATCCCAAAACATTGCCTTCCATTTCTCACAAAAATGTTAACGTTTTAGATCTTCACCCAATACCACGCTGTATCTATATTTCTTGTTTTCTCTATATTTACGAATACTAAATTAAATGCAGAATAAAATGTTATAGTTCTACAAGTCAAATGTACTGTGGGGGAAGAGAGGGGCAAGCTGAGTCATTCATGTTTCCAAGAAAGGCTCTATTCATGGTGTGATGTCATTTAAAGACTTCCATTTCTGCTGTTTAATTTGTTCTCATTCTCAGGTAAATGGGCGACGATGGTTTAGGTCCTTGTACCCTCAGGTTAACCCTTGAACAGGCGTGCCTCCCACGCTAACTGTTTTACTGTGTACAAATGAGGACAACTTCATAAGCAGCTCAATCCGCAGACTGTATAAGTTACGAGGTTTAAAACACAGATGAGACCCATGGTACTTTACAGCAGATGTTATTGTTTTAAAGAAAAAAGCTATAAAATCTGTACTCTGCCCACAACGGGAATCGAAACCCGATTTTTAGCGTCGTAAGCCTGCTTCCTTACCACTGAGTCACTAGGTAGGGGAAAGGAGTGGGCTTTACAGTATATAGTTTATTCCATGGCGTACATGTGTTATATGGTGTTCAAACGTTTAAAAGTAAACTAAAGTGGAACATCCGTTTTTTCGGTTTAGTAAATAAAAGTAAGGGAGTCTTAGAAAAAAAGTTTTATTTATTCATCTAATTTCAACATGCTTTTGTGAAAACTTTCAGCTTCCTGTTTTTACCCCACACCAAGGTAACTCATTGTCATGATCTTGGATCTGAATCTTTCATTATCTTATCAACATGATTTTATAAATTATTGTTGTCTAAACAAAACATTTTGAGGACACCATTAGCCAGGTGGTTGAGCCCAAACAATACCAACGGCTAAGCTTAAGACTTTACTTTCAGCAGTTTGAATTGTGCAATTCGGCTATCTTATGGAGCTTTAATAATAATAATAAGAGTGCTGCAGAGCATATCCAGGAATATGGAGTCCTATGCAAGAGATAGGTTATTCGTTATTTTATCGGGACCGATATTAGTCCAAAATCCTCTTTGTTGATTTTTGACAATCAACAACTTTTCTCTTTCTTCTACACAACTTTACATCTTGCTTAAACAGTAAAATATCATGCCATGTATGTGGGATCTTTTGCCTCCTGTTTCTATTTCATACAGATAAGGCATATCATACTTTAAAGACCTAAATCAACCAATTTGTCGAACGTAACATTATTTTATATTAGGTTCGTGATGTTTAAGAACAACATCACCTACCTCCCCTGAAAAGGGAGAGGGGGAATCCCAGCAGCTTCTTACGAAATAAAGGAATCAACAATAAGGAAAACATGAAAATTGTTATAATAATAATAATGGCGGGGGGGGATATAGATTGGTCCAGATCTCAAATGCATCGCAATATTTGGGTTTTCATATTTTGAGGACATCAACTCGTAGCAATATTTCCTTAAAAATCTCTCGAAACAGCACAGCTTGTGTCTCTTCTTTAGTGAGTAGATTTTACCATATACATAATATACAATATGGTAGTAGCGTTTCATATTGTAACCTAATGACTGACAAGCAAAGCTTTCGAATGATGCCATAGCCGAAATAATGTAATTAATCATTTAAATTTTCGTTATAAATATACATTCCAACTCTGAAAATCATGTAATAGTTTTAAAGTTTGGGATTTTGTGACGTGTATATCTGTAATAACAGCGAATTATAACAGATTGTAAATATGTTATAACATACCTTATACATTATATAGATATATAATATCTAACTTACATAAAAGCTAGTGTGTGTCACCTCACGCTTGATTTCTTGAAATACGAGGAGTCAAGATATATAATATCTAACTTACATAAAAGCTAGTGTGTGTCACCTCACGCTTGATTTCTTGAAATACGAGGAGTCAAGATATATAATATCTAACTTACATAAAAGCTAGTGTGTGTCACCTCACGCTTGATTTCTTGAAATACGAGGAGTCATAAAAGCCAAAATGCAATTTTCCAGATAGAACAATTCGATTACTGTCTGCCCATTACCATTTTTTGTGGCGGGGGTGCAAGGGGACCGTAAAACCTTATAAGGGTAGTGAGTGTTGGGATAACCTAACCTAGAGCCAATTGTATATATATAACATATTCTTTTTCTTATTCACTTAAAGTAACAAAAAAAAGAATCTATGACGTATAGACCTAATACATTCCTTGATTGGCCGTATTTTCTGCTGTGGACTGCAGTTTCGCCTATTCAAGGCTAATCAGCACAGCTTGGGTCAGCAAATCAAAGACGAACCCTGACATACGCAAAACTGCAATCCACAGCAGAGGGTACGGCCAATCAAGGAATGTATTCGACCTCTACATCACGACATTAACAGCGGATCAACTATTTAATGAGTATATATATATATATATGCGTTATAGATTTATAGAAAGTAAAATTCAAAAAAGAATCTAATAATGAATTAGACGCAATGTCATAACGGTATTCACACATTTAAATTAATTTAAATTACTGTATGGTGATTGAAAAAACTCAAAAACCTCACATGTATTCTAGACCTTATACATATAGACACTAATTTATAGTTCAACCATAGAGGACCACAGTTTGCATAAGTATTAAATTACGAAGTTGTTTAGTAATGGTGGGGTCCGCGTGTTGCATAATATTGAGAAATTTCACATTTTTGCTTGTTAAAAGCACTCAGTGTAAAAAAACTAACCTAAATACTAAGCGAATACACCCTTGTTCTTTGTGAAATACATAAGTAACTTAGCAGTGATGTTACTAGTGTTTTTGGCTACATTTTGTGTGTGACTCATGCGTTATTAGGGACCTGTAACCAACAAAGTCATGGATCCACAAGTTTGTTTGTTTGTTTTGAATTTCGCGCAAAGCTACACGAGGGCTATCTGCGCTAGTCGTT